TTTCTCCACAATAATCGGATCTACGTGATCTTCTTTATCCTATCCCCTACAAGTTAAAAAAAAAAAGAACACAATTTTAAAAAATAGAACCACTTTAAATGATTGTAAATATATCTACTTAAAAGATAGTTGTACCTCACTATAGATATGTGATTATCAATCTCATCATCAATGTCAACTACAAAGTTGATGCACAGGAGTAGTTTCACTCTTGGATAAAAAACTTTCAATACGATAATAATTTTGTTCACCTAATGTAAAGGAATATGGACCATGTCCATCATGAATCTTTGTTTTGCCTCCCATAGAAGTAAAAAAACTGTATTATTATAACATGTTATATTCTTCATAAAATTCTTAGAACCATTTGAATCATGGTCAAAAAACAAATGCTTCAAATACATGGGTGGCTCCAACCAAAGTGGCAACTGTATCTTTTCTTGTAAACAACAAAGAGAAAATCGCAATGATTTAGCAAAGGGTTCATGTTTAATGCTTTCATCGTACCACACTAAAGCACTACATTCACCACAATTGAAAATTAAATCTCCTTCATCAATATATCCTACAAACTAATTCAATTATCACAACATTAACAAATCAAAATTACTATCAATCGCTCATTAAAGAAAGGTATACAACCATTATATCCAGGAAAAGATTTCCTGATATTATCTTCCCCGTAAAGCTCTAATATATGACCATCATTATTGACCATGGGAAATGCTGAAAAAACAAACCATGGCTAATTATTAAATGAAAATTACCTTCAAACAATAACACTTCTCCTTTCATAAATTACAAAAAATAAAAATAAAATTACTTACAAAAGGAAACACCAGGAAAATTTAAACAAAAATTTTGCCCACATCTAAAAGGCCTTCTTTTAGTCCTTTTTATAGGTTGACCAATATCTCTCACAACATTCTTACACATGTAATAGAAAAAGAATAATGGCATAATCGAGCCACGCCAAAGGTCAAAATTTATAGAAATATTCAATATCAAAAATAACAAACTATCACCTTGATTTATTAATTATAGTGGCACAACCCCAAACCATACTAGATTCAGCAATTACTATGTAGAATGTTGGCAACAATTCAACAAAATTCAGCATTCATAATTTCTTCTACCATCCTATACCACAGCCTAAAAAAACACAAAATCTATTTGTCAATAACACCAACAACAAAAAAACCACAAAAACTTTAAATTAAAAAAGCTGGCAATTTATGATAATTGTCTACATGTTCATCACCATAACCAACTTTTCTTTTCCTACATGCAAAAACTATACCATCAAAAATAAAAAAAATTACCTCGAATATCACACAAAAACAACAAATCACTTACATCAAGTAATAAACTAGACACAAAAAAACTCAATACGACAAACAACATCAACTCGAATAAAGAAATATCATTAGAAGCCCTTTGCTGACTTCGAGCAGAACCTTCGCTATATGGGTTCTTCAACTAACACTCATATTAATAAAAACATTCCCACATTTATGGCAGCCAAAATAAATAATCACTTAAGATCTATATATAAAATAACATCAAGTACTTTCCGCAACACACTTTGCATTATATAGTTTACATAATATAAAATGCCACCACACATGTGTGGATATACAAAACAAATATTCCAAATAAACCTATTAATAGTTCCTAATAAAATTCACACGATTAGAAAATACATTAAAAATAACCGATTTGTGAAATTGGTATATACATGTTTGGGTTTGGTTGCAACTAAAAGAATTTAAGAAATAGTTAAATAATCGGAGCCACATGAGCTTTGACCTGTCTCGGCTATAAATGAGGGTCCAATAATCAGTTGAACCACATACTCTAAATCATACATACACAAACTTCACATTGTTTTAACCCATGGTTGATGGCACTTCACATTGTGCACTCCTCCCTATACTTTAGATGCCAAAACAAATCTCATTATTATGTAAGATTAATAGAAACCCACTTCAAAGCACACATTCAAAAACCCACTAATGTTCAAAGAAAAGGTTGTAGGTAACACAACATGCACGCATGCTAATCTGCTCTAACTTAGTCTTTCCTAGCTTTTCAGTTTGCACACGTTTAATGCTTCTAAATGTGATTCAGTAAATATTTATTTTTGTTTCTAACTAAAGCCTCACACAATTCTAACTTATTATTATACACTTAGATTTAGGTTAGAGGGTGTCTCAATAACTCAGCATGTTCTATGCAAAAAAAAAAAAAAATGTGCAGCAGCAAATAAGGAATCAGTATCCTCTATCTCAGACCTACAAGAATACACTCTTTTTTAAGTTTTAGAGAAAATGTGGCTTTTCCGCATAATGGAATCATGACAACCGGTGTCGGTCGTAATACATCAAATGTATTTCCAGAGACTTCTAAAAACTGTGTTTTGCACATATACTGGACGAAGTCGCGAGTCAGGTATCTAATGTAATACCTTTATAAATTTGGATGTCCCATGTGAACAGTGAATGAACAGTGAACTGCCACTGTTTTGCATATATACTTCGTGCATGTTTGGATTACTTGTTAACTGAGGTTAGAAGGGTACTCCAATTTCAGTTGAGATGAAAAAAGCTGATTAAAACATGTTTGGATAAAAAAAATTTTGAACTGAGCGTTGCTGCAGAACGAGCGTTAATTGCGAAGTCAGACAGGGAAGCTTTTATGACGCACGTTATGAACGTTGGCTAGGCATTTATTGTCAAATTCCTCTCTTCGGTCCATATTCTCTCACCTTGCCCTCGCATTCTTCACGCTAGCTGGGAGACAATAAATGCACGATGGTGGGAGAGGGAGAATCAGATGGAGGGAAGCAGTATAGAAGGAAGATGAAGTTGAAAGGTTTTGTGGAGAATCTGCAGGATAAGGAAGAAACAAAGGGCTTGGAGAAAAAGAGGAGGAAAAGGAGGAGGAAGAAGGTGCTCACTGTGTGTGTTTTCAAGTGTGTATGCGTGGCGCTCGGTGTTGAGGAGGAAGAAGATGATTTTGCTGTGTTTCATTATTTAATATTTAATTATAATTTATAAATTAATACAAAGTAAAGGAAGAAGAATAATTAAAATATTATTTCATTATTTAATTAAAATACACTCCATTTAATATAACTTTATTTGTGAAACATTAAATAAAGGGAGAAAATATAATAAGATTAGAATGAAATAAAATTTGCATACTAAAATTAAATTGTAGATGATGTGAATTGAATATTTTATAATTTATAAATTTATTTTACCTTTTTTGAATATTTCAAATTTTATTATTTAATCCTACCTTTTTAAAAATTAAGATATTTGACTAATTAATGTATTTTATATTTGTAATCTAATTTTTTTAAAAATTGTAATTTTAAAATTAATAATTTTTTCTTAAAAATATCAAACTAGTCAAAAATATATATATAACAAAACTCATGTTTATTTTAATCATTATTCATCGCAATTGACTTTTGAATCAAATCATTTAAATAAATTTTAATTTATTCAATTAAATTTAAAAAAAAATATCCAAACATAAATTATATTATTTTTTTTAACTTCAATTTACTAACCTTAATTTTTTAATCCAAACACACTCGAAATCCCCCCGTCCCCGCGTCTTCTCCGAGCTAGCCATGGACCTCCTAACTCAGGCCATTGCTATCAACCTTAGCGTCGAGCTCTATGCAGATCGGGCCCAGGCTAACATCAAACTCAGAAACTAACAACTATCAAAATTTCTCAGACAACGGTGGAGAAGCATATGTAGCTGCTCACCCTTCACTTAGGATCTCCACTGTCGACTTCTGGTACGTACCTCCACTCTAGAAGTGGAATCGGCGAAAAAGAGATGCAAGTTTGTGATTAATACAATCCAAGAGTTGCCTGCTTCCACCAAGATCACTGACTCTTGCCGCCGCACCCTCCTCAAATTAGCTCGCTTCGAGCTCTGTTTTCTCTCTCTCTCTTCTCTTCTTCTTCTTCGGCTACTACTGCTACTATTATTTCTACGCCTCTCAGGTTCATCTCATTTCCATTTGCTTTTCAAATGTTTCCATCTGTTTGGCTGCTAAGGGAATTAGTTCCAATAGGACTGGTGAATCTTTTCTCTTTGTTTTCTTCGTGGATAAGAACAACTTTAGTTTTTTTCTGTTTTCAACGAAGAAAGGTTTAATTTTTTATTCACTTAAGAAATCATTTTATGTTAACGAAATTAATTAAGGTCTGCCCTGGATGAGTGAGATATTGAAGGAATGCGTATTTTCTCTTCTTTTGTGTCCTTGCAGCCTGTAGTAACTAATGGACATGTAAAAGACTTAGTTTCTTTGGAGAATGCTAAGAAAGATTCTTCGTCAGTCAGGAATGGTTTTGAAAAAAATAAAGTAAATGCTGTTGACAACTTAAAAAGGAAGGATTCAGTGTTAACAAATAAAAACACTGGTATTCATTCTGTTGAAAAATATCCCAGAAGGTCAGATCTTATGGATGACACTGGGAGAAGCAGAGCAATATCAGGACCTTACAACCATAAGCTAGAAGCCAATGGTCTCAACAACAAACCTTATTCATTGAAGAATAAGAGGAAGGAACCAGAGGCTACCAGCATTTTGCTTGCACATGATGATCAGTCTGAAGCACGAGTTTAGGAACTTGAAGACAGCTCTGATATGCCTTAACTGTGCCCTTTCTGAACTCTTTCATCTAACATGAGTTAGAATGTTAGAATTTAATGGATATTTTCTTTTAGTATGGCCCGGCTATTCTTATTCTATAGGTGGTATATATTGATGATTTATCACGTTCTACTTTTGGCTCTTTTTTTGTCCCTGTCATACAATCAATATTAGTTATGTTTGAAATAAGTTATTCAGTTGATGCTTAAGAGTTGCAACTATTACTATTTGGTTATTTATATTGATGGGATTTTCGGAATGTGATGTTGATGGGCACCCAAGTTGAGAGGTAATATAATGGTTTGTTTGTTTATTTTCTTTTTTTTTTTATATACATAATGGATTAGTTTATTTGTTGCATCTTTGGCTTTATGGATCTGCAAATAGCATTCTTGAATTGTCTTAAATATCTATATTTTGTTGTAGAAATAGGAAACAAGAAAGAATGTCATACCTGTAATTAGTCTTACTTTGGTTACTGTTAAAGTTGGGAATTTATGAATATTATTCTTTAATTGGATTTTTTTTTTATATTAACTGTTTGAGTATGAACTAATGGTCATTTTCTTTCTTCACCCTCTTCAGTATAAAATTTGGCACGGGTATAAATCATCCGTTTGAATCCGTGAACACTTAATTTCTATTCTTCCTTGAACCATTCAAATATCTTCACCATCTTTCTAATGTTTTTCCCATCTGATCTTAAGTTTAAATCATTATCTATCTTTTTTCACCCTCACCATTTGTATTTGGTATGAGTTGATTATTTCAAAGTAGCCTCCTATGCTAAAGTCTATGAAACCTAATTAACTTGTCAGATTTCCATATTGATTAGAAATTTAGACCGTAAGTGCAAAATATTCACAGGGAAATTCACTCCTGCAAACACCAAAGTCATTTCCTGCCTTGAAGATACTGATTTAGAATGCAATAGGCATAAGAGCAACAAGAAAAATAGGGTAAGAACAATTTGTTTAGATTCATACCAACCATTTAACTTGAAAAATGTGATGGTTTTGACAACAGCAGCAATGAATAACAATCATAAAGTTGAAGACCAGAAAGATGCTCTACTGCCTCAATAAAACAATCCATCTCTCTGAGTGTATCCTCAAACGAGGAGGATGAACTTAGTTTTATGCATGAATTGGTATTAGACAATCTTGTTTGCATGACATGTATGTACAATTTAATTCTATTTTTTTGCTTATACCATATAACAATTTAAAAATTGCATGCAAGCTAAATACCTGTTATAGATGCTGATTTTTTTCCTTTTTTTCTTTTAATCCTTGCAAATGTTTAAAAAAAGGATGATGGGTGCAAGGAAGTGTAACTTTCTGATTTTGAAGGTTACTAAAGGTTTGTTCTTTCTTTTTATAAAGCATTTCCCATTTATCACTCCTATTTTTTTTTTTTTTTGCCTTTCTTTATTTTAGATGGCGATTAATAGTATATATTCTCTGGAAGTGTTTGGGGCAGGGGGTATGAAGGTTCAGATAATGTGATTACTGATGAGATGGAGCTCCAGCAACATCAGAAACTTGAGAAGCTCTACATATCAACACAAGCGGGAAAGGTTGCTAGGTCCTCTTATGCAGTTTTTTATTCTTATAAACCTTTTACTTCAATGGATCCCCTCAATTGACTGTTGATAACATGAATTTTTTTTTGCTCAACATTATCAAAGGGATCCCGTGTGGTAGAAGCTCATATTGTTACTGGATCGACGCAAGTTGAACTAGGTTAGTAACATTGGGAGGCGAAATTGGTACTTGCTCTTTTTGTTGATTAAGGGTATGAAATCTTTTAAACTGGAATTTTAAGGGATGAATTCATTTGTTCAACATGATGTTCATTTCATCCTATCATTAAATATTATTGTCTTAGTAAGTGCCCCCACCTTCAAGTGTGCCTTTTGCCCCAAATATAAGTAGGATACGTTGACGGATAATTTATTAAAGATTATCCATGTTAATCATGTTCATATCATCACATTGATGGCTCATTCCTGATGTTTTGCTTGCTTTTCAATTTTCAAGGAAGTTAAGCTCAAGGGGAAAGAGAGTTTAGCGGGACTTTACCTTTTTCTAGCTGATGTGATAAGTAGGCACGTAAGCCACTAAGTGCAGCAGCATGGAGACACTTTTTTGGTCTTTTTTATTTCTAGGAAGTGCAATTGAGCAGCTTTAGTCGCGTATGTTTCATTTTAGTCTTCTTTTTTACTTTCATCTGAATCAAGTAGGTTCTGGTAATTCATGGAATTCATTTTCAAGGATCTTCCACTCATTAAACTTATTCAATAAAATAAACTGATACCTGGTCTCATTTCTTCTTCATATAAGCCAAGGTGAAAGAATAAGTAGAAAAAAAATTAGATAAGACGATAGTAAAATGAGTACTTTGGCTTTTGGCCTGAGTTCACATGCTTTTCTTTTTAGAACAGTGGTGTAAAATGAATCCATCACGCATCAATTTTAGACCCACCAAAGCTATGAGTGCAAACTGCAAATGAGGGAAAAATGGTGGTCATGAAATTTCATTCTTGTGCAGAAAAGTTAGAGTTTTCTATAATATATCATTGATACGAGTTTAGTAACTTATCCCAAATATGCTTTTGCAGTTCGGAAAAAATATCAGTAGTAGGGGGCCTCTATCGAATCCTCAATTTGCATGAATATGGGATTGCAGCTTTAGTTAGGGATTCTATTAGTAGTCTTCTTTAAGGTACTGGAAGTACTAGACTTGGAACATCTCGAGAGATTGCTTGTGATCATCTCTTGATTAAATCAACATGTACTGTTCGGATGAATTGAGCTGTTCTCTGTTTTTGTTTTAAATAGTGGGGAATGTGATTACTGCTATTAATTTTGACAGCTTAAACCCAAAGATCATGTGGAAATGATTTCACACATGAGGCCAACCATATGGGTTGCTTTGGCTAATGAAGCACCTGCTTGGGTATCATCATATAAAAGGAACAAAACCTCAGTACGTTGAACTGTTAGAAGTCTTTATGACTGCCTTGCATTGAATCCGGTAGGGGGAAATACATGGTTATTTTAAAACGGAAGTAAAATCCATGGTTACATGTTATATTGTTATTCTTCTCTGTTAGATTGGAATGAAGTTCTTGATAATCCATTATGATTGTTTAGTTCAAGCTGGATTGAAGGATTTTTTTTCCCCAGATTATCAGTTTTTGTCATCATTCTAACATTAATACTTGAATATCCTTGATCTATTAATAATTTAGGTTTGTTCTTGTTTTAGTCATTTGGTAAGTTTATGTGTTTGTTTTATCTTGGTTTTTTAAATGAAGGAAATTCAGAGTAATTAGAACTCTGAAATCATTTGTTATTCTATATAGAACGAAGGCATTAATTTCTTTTGGGGGAAAAAAAAAAAACGCCTTCAGCGCTTTAATAGAAAGTAGTTTGGCTTGGGTTGTTTCTCATATCATTTCGGCTATAAGCAACTATCTTATCTTTAATCTAGCAAATGCAGCATAAGCAGCATTAGCAACCTTAGTATTTCATAAATACTTTTTTTTTCCCAAAAAATTTGGTTGTGCGCTTTTTTAATACATCTCCAGTTCCCCTTTCTCTCCAATATTTGTTGGGTTCCTTTGAGATGGTTGCAGTACGTTATTCGACAGTAGAATTGCTAAACTAATGCTTATCTTTCTGTACTCTCTTTGTTCCTATTTTTCTGTATTAGGAGTGTTCATAAGACGGGACAGGATTGGGACACCCCTGTTTCGTATCTCGTCCTGAAAAAAGATCAAAATTAAATTTTGATCTTGTATCTCGTTTTGTCTTGAAAGTTGTCCTGTCCCGTTAGGAGTCGAGACAAGATCGGGACAAGATCGGAATGTCCTGTCGTCTCGATAAATGGGATAATATCAGAGAAAAATTTGGATAATAATGTTCATTAAAATTTTAAATCATATAATTTATTAAGTTTAAAGTCAAAACAATATAAGTACATAAATTATAATAATTTAAAGTCAGTTATTGAATTATCATAATTACACATTATAATAGCAAATACAAATAATCTTTATGCTAAAAGAGTAGCAATAATAGACAGGTCAAGCACAACATTAAATCGTTGTTCTTTTACTTTAGTGAAGATGAATCAAGTTAATTTATTCTTCTGAAAATAAAGCAAGAAATACGTTACAAATAAAAGTTATTAAATAGATAGATATAAGAATAAATTATATTAATATAATGAATATATTATAAAGAAAAATATCATCATATTTGCTCCATGTGATTAAAATTATCAATATAAAAAAATTTTAGTTTTAAATAAGAATTGCAAGTATTAAAATTATAATTGATATAATTAATATAAGTATAAATTATATTAATATAATTAATATATTTAAAATAAAAAATAATATATATAATACTCAAGATGAGATGTCTCAATGATAATTTCGTATCCTATCTCATTCCAAATCCCTTCCTTTCCTTTATGATTGGGATAATATCGAATCAATCAGGATCGGTTTAAGTGGAACACCCTTATTCTGTACTATCACTATTTGAATGTTGTTTTTTAAACTAATGCTTGTATGTACGGTGAGATATGAATTCCCCATAGAAGAGAGATTCAGTGGACAAAAATATTGTACGCTAAAGAAAACGCAATTTATTAACACTAAATATAATATTTTAAGCACACAAAATAAATTATTTTTAAATTTATATATTTTATTTTATTTTATTTTTATCTTTCAATATTAAAATAACCCGTGCGAGGGGAATAAATCTAGGTTACAATAAACTTTGAATAGAGAAAGGATGGGCAAACAAAATGGCTAGAGACATTAGACCTTAAGGGTAGAAAATGGGCTAACAAAAAAAATGCTTACAACCCAATCAAAAACTGTTATTTAATTATTAAGACCTTAAAAAACAACATTTATTCACTGGATCCCACAAAGAAGAGGACAAATTAATGGCCAAACACTGTTGGTGAATAGTGTAATAGTGCAATATCAACTTTAAAGATTGTAAAATTATTTGCATAAAGAAAAAAATAGACTAAAAAAATTAAAAAAAATACAAAAGAATAAAATGTAGTGTAAAGGAGTAAATTGATAAAAATTAAATTAATTTGAAAACTAATTTATTTTTATTTAATTATATATGTGTGTTTGTGTCAAGTTATTAAAATATTTTGCATATTAAATTAATTTAAGAGTTATTTTGTGTTTTAAAACTTTAAAAAAATAAAAGAATAAATTGATAAAAACTCAATTTCAATGATTAAATTGATAACTAAGACAAGCTTATAAAACTAAAATTTCCATCATCTGATTTAAATCATGCACTTATCATTCTGTGCTAAGTTTTATTTCATTTCATCCTGACTCACTCCTCTAGCGCATCCATACTCCGACCTTCTGAACTCCTTCATTCTAAACCTCATCATTGCTCTCGCGATCTTGCGCTCGGACACAGTCTCGTTGACTCATCGTTGCTCTCAAGTCTCAGCCCTTCTCTCACCACTTGCAACCGTCATTGTTAGTTTGTCATTTTCGTCATCTGACCAACATCTCTTATCGTCTCCAACATTTACATCTCAATGGCTTGGGTGATAATAAGTATTTAGCTCACCTTGTTCTCAATCTGTTGCTCTCTTTAGCTCTAATTGGATAGTTCATTACACCTAGTGGTACTTGGAACACATAAAAAATGCATGGTGAATTGGCTTCACTTCACCACCATTAGTTGAATTATCAACACTAGCCCACCAAATGAGATGAGACGGAGAGGGTCTTATTTGTGGAAGTCATCCACTTAGGCCTTCTTTAAAATTAAAGGTCCATTTGGGTAAATAATATTTGGTATTTGAAAAGTATTTCCTGGTTTTTCAAATGTTAAATATTGTTTGAGAATTTTTTAGTTGGACATAATAACTTTTGAAAGGTGAATTCAAAAAGGCTTTGAAAGTGACTTTTGAAAAGCAACTTTAGGATGAATTTGAAATGCCAAATGGGAGTTGGAGAATTTATTGAGGGGAATAAATATGTACCTAATTTTATAAGTGATCATGCCACCCTTTATTTTTGAAGAAAATCTACAATTGATTATGACTTTAAACATTTTGAGAATGAAAATACGATTAACCCTCATAATATTAATAAGCATGCATTTCCATCACCAATTTCAAATTTAATTTCAAGTATGGCTTTTGATGGAGAGATGAATAAAGTTCGCAAATCAATTAGATATCAGATTATATATTATAAAGGGAGAATGATAATTGAGGACCGGTTAAGGGCATTAATCCCAAGTGGGGACCTTGAAATATGGAAATGCCAATTAAGGACCATGGTCCTTATTTGGGATTAAAAAATAAAACAAATTGTCAAAACTGCCCCCAAGAGAAAGAAGAAAATAACCGTGCAGACCAGAGCCCTACTTGCTCTATTTTCTTGTCTCGGTCGAGCGATTTCTTGTCCTGGCTCACCGACGTTCATTGTCGTTCATGAAGTTCTCTATAGAAGCTGTAGGATTGTGCAATCGTCGATGAGAGGTCTTCTCCAACGTTGGTCATTTCTGTTGCGCCGTCTGTGTTGTTCCGTCGCACTCTCTGTGGAAGCTCCGACTGCTATTGCTCGGATCTGAGCTTTCTTATACTTCGCCCAACTGCAAAGGTAAGGATTTTCATCTATGAAGTCTCAAACTTGTAGTATGTTGTGGTTTGCCTGCGAGAAATGTCAGCATAAAAAGTATATGGTCTCAAACTCGCTCGGACTATCGTTGTCGGATTCTTTGTTTTTGGTAGAAATTAGTTATTTTTCAGCCCAAAAATTACAATGGAAAATAGAACTTGCTCATGTTCCCAGTGCAAAATTTTAAGTTCCTTTAAAACGGAATGCTTCTTGTGTAAATAGCATTGGCTCAATTTTAATGGTTGGCATTTGTTGGGATTTGATATTTTCCTTTGAAACAAAATTCTTCTCGTGCAAAAGGCTTAATGTTTATGAACGTTTGTCATTGATATTTTTCTTGCTAATGTGTACGACCTGAGGCAGGAGATGCTTATTTTGGAATGTTCAGTGACGTTTTAATATGTATAATGTGATAAGGGAAAATGCAGCGCCTTCCTTTACTTTCTTTCACCTGTAAATTGGCCTATGAACTTCTAAAACTAGGAAATTGGTCTCTGGACTTCTATCTTTATGAAATAGGTCCTTCTATCTTTACTTCCGTTTTTGAATTGGCTCCTCGTGTCTGCTTTGTATCATTCTTGATACTATTTTGCATCCTTGAAAAGCTGGACCTTGAGGCATCAAGAAATTCACAAGTCTAATTGAATCGTTTCCATTGTTAACCTTGTCACTCCTATCTGCAACATTATGTTTGCTAACTTTCATAAATTTCCTTCTCTTCCCGAGTTTAGAAACACCAAAAATCATTGTTGGTCCTTCTTTATGAAGATCGGTTCTTGCAATGCTTTGTGTATCAATTTTAGTTTCATTCTTGCTGTTCTTACCAATGTTAAACACTTTCTCTTTCTCTGCCAAATCAAGCAATCTCAATTTATTAGGATTTAGTGGCTCCACACCCTCAAGGCTAATTAACGTCTTATCTTTCCCTTTGTAAGCAGCCCAAGGTTCCACCCTTTTCATGTGTTGGGGTGTGTGTGGGGGGGTGGTTTAATGTTTACATTCTTCCCCTATAACTATTTGTCTTGAACTTACATAAATTTAAAATATCTTGTTTCTAATCATTTTTAATTTTCAATATAACGGCTAACTTTTGAAGAATTTAGTACGTGGTGTATAATTGCGATGCTTGGTTGTTGCTCTTAAGCAACATAAATTGATTAGAGTCTGTGTAGTATAGATTGAACTGCAAATCAAGATTTTTCATAAGAGGCAAGACATTTATATCTTTTGTACAAAGAAATTCTGTGGAGAAAACTAAGATTTGATGTTTGGTGAATTCAATAGTGCTATCATGTGTATCCATTAGTGACGTTAGATATATTTAATAGTAGTTTGTTTTTAA